CGCTGAGCCTGCGCGTCCGGAGCCTGTGCTCCGCAGATGGGAGGGGCCACAACAGTGAGAGGCCCGCATAACGCAAGGACCCCAAAAAAAAAAAAAAAAAAAAAAAGTGAGAGGAAAATTGGAAAAATATGTGCACCCCAATGTTCACAGCAGCACTACTTACAACAGCCAAGGCATAGAAGCAACCTAAATGTCCACTGACAGATGAAATGGATAAAGAAGATGTGGTACATATATACAATGGAATATTAGCCATAAAAGAATGAAATAATGCCATTTGCAGAAACAAGGATGAACTGAGAGGGGGAGGGATATTTAGGGAGCTTGGGATTGACGTGTACACACTCCTATATCTAAAATGGGTAACCAACGAGGACACACTGTATACCACAGGGAACTCTCCTCAGTATTCTGTAACAACCTAATTGGCAAAAGAATTTGAAAAAGAAATAGATACATGTTTATGTATAACTGAATCCCTTTGCTGTACACCTGAAACTAACACAACATTGTTTATCAACTGTACTCCAGTATAAAATGAAAAGTTAGAAAAAGAGGAAGAAACACATCTGACAATCAAAAGTGTCAAAAAGAAGATCAAGAAATGAGGGATGGGACTTCCCTGGTGGCACAGTGGTTAAGAATCCACCTGCCAATGCAGGGGACATGGGTTCAAGCCCTGGCCCAGGAAGATCCCACATGCCACGGAGCAACTAAGCCTGTGCGCCACAACTACTGAGCCCAGAGCCACAACTACTGAAGCCTGCGTGCCTAGGGCCTGTGCTCTGCAACGAGAAGGCACCGCGATGAGAAGCCCACACGCCGCAACTAGAGAAAGCCCGCACACAGCAATGAAGACCCAACGCAGCCATAAATAAATAAATTTTAAAAATTAAAAAAAAAAAAAAGAGGGATTACACAGATGACAGCATCTCCTTGAGTGTAAGAAAAGAAGACACACTGGGCATTTATAAAGAATTCAATCCTGAATGAACTGGCACACATTCACTATGCACTCTGTGCTGGGTACTAGGGGGCCAGGAGGGATGCAGATGCACAGATGACAGTAATAAAAACCCTGCTGCTGCTGCCATGTAAGAGAAGAGGCGGCAGCATGAGTCCACCCAAGGGAGCGCACGTCCAGGGAGGGTCACACAGACATAGCACAGAGTCCCACGACTGGGGGGATGTGAATAGAGGGCCACGTGCACAGATACGGGACGTGGGCTCTGGTTGTGGCCTCTTGTGAAAAGCTTCACAGAAGGGGTGCCCCCCTGAACTGGGTGCAGTGTGATGAGAGCATCCAGCAGGAAACTGCAGTTCACACGCCTCCCGTGTAACCTGCGTACTGCGTTGCTCTGCTCCAGCTGGAAGCCAAGAATGTTTCTGGTGGCTTATGAGGCATCTGCGATCTGGCCCTGCCTTTCCCAGCAGCTCCATCACAGACCCTGCTCATCTGCCTGCTGTGGTTCCTCGGCCTGGAACACCACCTCCCCCCGCCCCCGCGGCAGGTCCTTCAGCAAATACTCGCTGGACCCTACACGGGGTCAGATCCCAGGTACTCACTCTCCTTGTATCCTGCACGCTTCACCACACTTAATCACAGGTGCAATGAACTGCTCCCCCAATTGTTCATCTGACTTCCCTCGGCTGGAACCATGTGCATTCTAAACCCTGTGCTTTGCACACCGCCTGGCTCACAGTAAGTGGGCAAGAAATATGTTTTAAATAGATGAGCAGGCAGAAAAGGTTTCAGAGGAAGACTACTGGGTTGCATAGTTAGAGTCGTCATTTAAAAACAACTAACTAAGGCTGTTCTTGGAAAACAGCAGGAGCTAGATTTGACACTGTGATTTTTGATTTAAAAGATTTATGCAGAATATATCTTTAAATATGCATCTCTGGTTGGAGATTAACAACTAAAAGGGAGGGGAAAGAAGAGCAGATCACAGAGACCAATGGAGGGGGAACAAACCCAAACTAAACAAAAAAAATTTTTTTAATAACACCTTACTTCAGAATTGGAATGAAACTAAGATATGTTTTAAAGTACACAATCATTTAAATGAGCAGACCTGAAGGTCACAGTGAGGAGGAGACACCACTAATTTGATTACTCGCACAATTCCTTTAAAAATTACGTGGCATGCAAAACAGAAATATAGGTCAATGGGGCTTCCCTGGTGGCGCAGCGGTTGAGAATCTGCCTGCTAATGCAGGGGACACGGGTTCGAGCCCTGGTCTGGGAGGATCCCACATGCCACGGAGCAACTAGGCCCGTGAGCCACAACTACTGAGCCTGCGCGTCTGGAGCCTGTGCTCCGCAATAAGAGAGGCCGCGATAGTGAGAGGCCCGCGCACCGCGATGAAGAGTGGCCCCCACTTGCCACAGCTAGAGGAAGCCCTCGCACAGAAACAAAGACCCAACACAGCAAAAATAAAGAAAATTAATAAAAAAAAAAAAAAAAATAAAAGAAATATAGGTCAATGGAACCTGGTAGAAAGTACAGAGATAAACCCATGCTCCTATGGTCACCTAACCGATGACAAAGGAGGCAAGAATATACAATGGAGAAAAGACAGTCTCTTCACTAAGTGGTGCTGGGAAAACTGGACAGCTACGTGTAAAAGAATGAAATTAGAACACTCCCTAACACCACACACAAAAATAAACTCCACATGGATTAGAGACCTAAATGTAAGGCCAGACACTATAAAACTCTTAGAGGAAAACATAGGCAGAACACTCTTTGACATAAATCACAGCAAGATCTTTTTTTGGTCCACCTCCTAGAGTAATGAAAATTAAAAATAAACAAATGTGACCTAATTAAACTTAAAAGCTTTTGCACAGCAAAGGACACCATAAACACGATGGAAAGACAACCCTTAGAATGGGGGAAAATATTTTCAAACGAAGCAACTGACAAGGGATTAATCTCCAAAATATATAAACAGCTCATGCAGCTCAATATCAAAAAAACAAATAACCCAATCAGGGCTTCCCTGGTGTCGCAGTGGTTGAGAGTCTGCCTGCCGATGCAGGGTACGTGGGTTCGTGCCCCGGTCCGGGAAGATCCCACATGCCGCGGAGCGGCTGGGCCCGTGAGCCGTGGCCGCTGAGCCTGCGCATCCGGAGCCTGTGCTCCGCAACGGGAGAGAGCACAACAGTGAGAGGCCCGCGTACCGCAAAAACAAACAAACAAACAAACAAAAACCCAATCAAAAAATGGGAAAATCTAAATAGACATTTCTCCAAAGAAGATATACAGGTGGCCAAAATGCACAAGAAAAGATGCTTAACTTCACTAACTATTAGAGAAATGCAAATCAAAACTACAATGAGGTATCACCTCACACCAGTCTCCAGAACAGCCACCACCAAAAAATCTACAAACAAATGCTGGAGAGGGTGTGGAGAAAAGGGAACCCTCCTGTGCTGTTGGTGCGAATGTAAATTGATACAGCCACTACGGAGAACAGTATGGAGGTTCCTCAAAAAACTAAAAACAGAGCTACCATATGATCCAGCAATCCCACTTCTGGGCATATACCCGGAGAAAACCATAATTCAAAAAAGATACATGCACCCCAATGTTCACTGCAGCACTATTTACAATAGCCAGGTCATGGAAGCAGCCTAAATGTCCATCAAACAGGGGAATGGATAAAGAAGGTGTGGTACATATATACAATGGAATATTACTCAGCCACAAAAGGAACAAAATAGTGCCATTTGCAGAGATGTGGATAGACCTAGAGACTGTCATACAGAGTGAAGTAAGTCAGAAGGAGAAAAACAAATGTCGTATAATATCACTTATACGTGGAATCTAGAAAAATGGTACAGATGAACTTACTTGCAAAGCAGAAATAGAGACACAGCTGTAGAGAACAAACTTAAGGATACCAAGGGGAGAAGGGTGGGGTGGGGTGAATTGGGAGATTGGGATTGACATCTACACACTACTATGTATAAAATAGACAACTGATGAGAACCTACTGTATAGCACAGGGAACTCTACTCAGTACTCTGTGGTGACCTAAATGGGAAGGAAATCTAAAAAGAGGGGATATATGTATACATATAACTGATTCACTTTGCTGTACAGCAGAAACTAACACAACACTGTGAAGCAACTATACTCCAATAAAAATTAATTTAAAAAAATTACATGGTAGAGATGGCTCGATGTTCCCCCAATATCCTTTACCCATTTCTTTTATAGTAATAAGCTTTTGGGTGGGT